CTGTATTTGTTTATTATGCGTTTTTGCAGCTGTGCAATGCAGAAAACGCATATTGACGAGAGGTTGTATGTGTGTTTGTGTGTGTCTGTGTATGCGCTCTGCGTCTGTACCGATTTTTCAGCTCGAGACTCACAAAAACTGCGGGGCTGAAACTTGGGGAACTTAATCTGCATGCAAGTACGGGCCCCCATCTCCGAAATTGGCGGTCTTGCCCACGTGGTACCCACGTAAGGGCCCGCCAAAGTCTTTTACGGGTAAGCTGCTAACTCGGGAACCAGAGTTGCGTGGGGGTAAGTTGATAACTCAGGGATCTGAGAAGCTTCAAAGCTGAAATCTTAAGAGGATGTTGCCCATCCAAGTAAGTGTTGATGAGCTCAAAATCAGTCCCCGGGTAGGCGTAATACCCGCGTACAGGCCTGTGAAATTTTTTTTCGGGCATGTTGATAATTCGTGGATCTGAGAAGCTAGAAAGCTGAAATCTTGGGAGGATGTTCCCGGTCGAAGTAGGTATTAGTGAGCTCAAACTCAGCCCCCGGATATGCGTGGTACCTAAGCAAGGGCTCACCAAAGTTGTAAGTTGCTAACTCGAGAACCTGAAAAGCTAGATGACCGTATTTTTAAGAGGATGTTCCCAGTCCAAGTAAGTCTCAACGAGCTCAATCCCAAACATCGGGTACGCGTGTTACCCACGTGCGGGCCCGCGAAAGTTTTTCTCCAGTAAGTTGCTAACTCAAGAGCCAGGAAAGCTAGAAAGCTGAAATTTTAGGAGGGTGTTCCTGCCAGTTTCGGCGGCCAGTCATCATGCGTTTTTGCCGTGCAGCGCTAGAGCACTCCTACAGGCAGCAAAAACGCATATTGCAACGACCCTGTCAGAGTGTGTGTGTGTGTGTATATGTTTGTATGTGTGTATGTGTATGTGTTCGTCTGTCCGAGTATTTCAACTCTCCAACCACGCAAGCTTTAAAGCTGAAATTTCGCCAGTGTGTTCCCCAACCAAGTGCCGCCCCAGGACCGCAGTCTCAACTCTCGCGCACGTCTGGGCCCCGCGTACGAGCACGTGAAAGTTTTGGCGCGAAAATTGCTAACTCGGGGCGAGAAAAGCTAGAAAGCTGAAACTTTAGGGGGATGTTTCCTACTCATGTACGACCAAAATCAGGTGCTTAGAAGCGCCCCGGGCCCACTTACGGACACGTGGAAATTTTAGCGCGAAAACTACTAACCCGAGAATGAAAAAAGTTAGGAAGCTGAAGTTTT